ACTAGGGTGTAACTTTTATTATACACTCGCGAGCAAAACTATGGAATCACATGAAGTTGTTTCCACGCGATCTTGTGTACTAACGAATTTGTTAGTAACAAAAAAAGTGGCACCATATTAAAGATTAAACTTTTACCTTTAAATTGATACCAAATTCATTTAAATCACACCAGTATTTAAAAAGATATCCCGGCTGATGTGAAGAAGTAAGGAAAAAGACATGTTTCAACTGTTGATACGTCGCGAGTTGCGGCTTACTTACCCCCTATAAAACACGTGTTTTCAGATTTTTGCTTTCACACGTTAATCCATACACATCTCCGCTTTTTTTGACACTTTACCTGGGATTCTACACCTACAGAAGCAGCACAAATCGTTGCACTATTGCAAGAAGGGCTCAGCCAGCGGGCTGTCGCATGTCAGCTCCACATAAGCCAGTCCTGGGTTTCGAAAGTTTTAAGACGCTTTCGGGAGACTGGTGGCTTTATCCCGAGACCAAGTTCTGAACAGCGCCGGTGCATATCGCAGAGGGATGACCGTTTTTTCATGTCAACCTCTCTATGAAATCATCATTTGAGTGGTATCGACGTCCAGCAAGAGCTCAGAAATGTTCGTAGGATAGCTGTTAGCGTGTGGACAGATCGTCTAAGATATAAGCAATAGAATTTGACTCCAAAAAGGCCTGCCACAGGCTTCGATACCAGTCAAATGACGATTTCATAGAGAGGTTGACATGAAAAAACTGTCATTCTTCTGCGATGATCACTGGCGCTGTTCAGAACTTGGTCTCAGGATAAAGCCACTAGTCTCCCGAAAGCGTCTTAAAACTTTCGAAACCCAGGACTGGCTTATGTGGAGTTGACATGCGACAGCCCGCTGGCTGAGCCCTTCTTGCAATAGTGCAAGGATTTGTGCTGCTTCTGAAGGTGTAGAATCCCAGGTAAAGTGTCAAAAGAAGCTGAGATGTGTATGGATCAACGTGTGAAAGCAAAAACCCGAAAACACGTGCTTTTATAGGGGGTAAATGGGCCGCAACTCGCGACGTATCAAACAGTTGATACATGTCTTTTTCCTTACTTCTTTACATCAGCCGCGATATCTTTTTAAATACTGGTGTGATTTAAATGAATTTGGTATCAATTTAAAGGTAAAAGGTTAATATTTAAAATGGTGCCACTTTTTTTGTTACTAACAAATTCGTTAGTACACAAGATCGCGTGGAAACAACTTCATGTAAGTGATTCCATAGTTTTGCTCGCGAGTGTAGTTGTTGCAATGTAATGAAATGCATATTTTTCAAAAATTTTGATAGTAATTTACACTATTGCAGTGTGTGATATTTGCCTTAGAAGCAGACATCCATGTTTTATGAATTCAATTGTTAGGGGGCGTCCATAAATTACGTGAGACTTTTAGGGGGGGGAGAGGTCAACAAAAACCTCACTAAATCTCACGTGGGGGAGAGGGGGGGAAATATCACGTAATTTTTTCCGCAAGAAATAGAGATATAGAGTTTGCCAGAAAACTGGGTTAAGATTTAACTTAAGAAAAAAATTGGCCAAGTGCGTGTCGTGCCACGCGCAGTGTAGGGTTCCGTAGTTGTCCGTCGTTTAACAAAATATATTTCAGAAGCAAGCAATTACTTCATCTAAAGTCGCTTTTAATATTTTCTTCTAGGGATTTTTTATTAGATATGAAATTTTGTAATACATGAGTTAAATGACTATTACTCTTAAACTAACTGACTTACCCTTACCGTTATAGTTTTCTTGAAAGTTCATAAAAAGCAGTATTATTATGAATTTTTCCAGATTTTTCAAGCCAGCAGTCTAGTTTTTAGAGGGGGACGCCCTGCTCGAAAAAAAATTGGCACTTTAAACTTTAATAGTTTGCAAACGGATCCCTAAATCGAAAAATAGTCTTTGAAACCCCCAAGTCATCCAACGATATCCTACACAATGGTGTAGAAGATGAAAAAAAAATTCATCCCCACTTTACATGTAGGGGAGCTACCCTAAATTTTATTCTACTGTTTTGTCGGCGTTTTTATATATCCATACCTCCACAAAATTACAGCTCTCTAGTGCCAATAGTTTCCAAGCAAAACCTCGGACAGACAGACATATCGAAACTATAAGGGTTCCTTGTCAGGACTACGGGACCCTAAAAAATTATATTTTCTATGATGATAATGACATTTTATTCTATACCGTCTAAACAAATAAAACTAACAATGCTTCCGTCTGCATGTGTGAATACTAAAATGCAGAATAAATGACAAAATTAAGAAAATTATAAAACAAGTTTTTTTTATCAAAATCGATTTTGCTAGATTATGTAGAAAGGAACAATAATTAGACTAGGTACTTCTGTAAAAAAAAACAATGAGACCCTAGTACTAACCGCTGTCACTACACATGTTTTTCTGGATCTATTCGTAATCAGTGGGCTTAGTGCAACTATATGAGGATATCGATTGTCATCCGCTAGCGACTGCGTAAAAAATGTCATGCATTAAATGTATGATGATTGTACAGCGTCCCTAGCAGATACTTTCAAGAACTAAAATCTTAAACTTTATAGATCTTTTTGATGCACTCGTTAGCGACAACGGTAAATGCAAACTCGCACTAAGCACACAAAAAAAAACTTTCTCAGTTAAATTATTCCAAAACTATTAAATTTCGGATTTTTTTAAATATCACGTGAGATTAGGGGGTGGGGGAGGGGGTCAGGCAAAATCTCACCACCAATCTCACGCGGGGGGGTTGAAAAATAGCCAAAATTGTCTCACGTAATTTATGGACGCCCCCTTAGATATTACTATTATGATGTATAAAATTGGGGAAATAACTAGTACATAGTTGCTTATGCTCAGTTTTGAAGAAATATTAGATTTTCTGATTTTATAAAATCTAAAAAGTTAACATGAAGTCAAAAATTTTTTCAGACAGAAATAGCACATAAATATTACAAGGAAATAAAAAGTGAACTTAGCAGTGCCACCCTATTGCAACAGCGATACCCATCGTAATGGGACTACACTCAGCATATGCCATGGCCCACGGTGGAGAAGGCCACGACGCTGGTTTTCAGTGGGCCCCAAAGCAAATTAAGCACTCAACTCAAAATGTACTATTTGCAGTGGATGCATTTTCCACACATTTGAGTCAATATTTTGCAAAGTCCTCATTCTGACTTGACACAATTGAAAAGTTAGGTTTGGTTTCAGCTTTTATACACAAAATTCTTTATTAGGTTTTTTTCAGGACTGTAAATGAGGATCGCAAAAAAGTTTGTGAGATGTGATGTGAAGCATTTTTAAACTATATTTTGTGACCCAGATAAATGCATATACAGGGTGTTAGGTAAATGGGTATATGAGCCGACACTAGCCCATGTTAACATGGGCATATAAATGGTATAGTGAAGTCAGAAAATTGATATCTTCATTTCATTCATACAAATCGGATTTTATAAAATTTATTTTGTATGAAAACAAAAAAAATTAAAATGATGATATCGAATTTCTGACTTCACCATACCATTTATATGCCCATGTTAACATGGGCTAGTGTCGGCTCATATACCCATTTNTATCTTCATTTCATTCATACAAATCGGATTTTATAAAATTTATTTTGTATGAAAACAAAAAAAATTAAAATGATGATATCGAATTTCTGACTTCACCATACCATTTATATGCCCATGTTAACATGGGCTAGTGTCGGCTCATATACCCATTTACCTAACACCCTGTATAATAAATCAATGTTTTATACTAAGAAATAAGGTAGCCATATACATAGCCATTTCAAAAAAATATATACCATGGAAAATATGCATGCATGGAAGAAATACATCTTCATCTGCTAATGCTAAGTTGTATTTCCATGTCTTATCCAATCCAATCTAACAAAGACATAAAATGGAAATAATACTATATTTTTGGTATCATGAGGCAACATTATAAAATGGCAGACAAACTAAAACAACCTGATTGCACATTAAATATGCAAAAGCAAAATAGATAGGTACAGATAAAGACAGTAGCTTACAGTGCATCTGTTGCCAAAAAAATTTTTGCTGTTGATTTAAATACTAGTTACAAATACATATACAAGTACAGTTTTTTTATCACTCTAATTTATGAGATTTAGGTTTTATTATTAAAAATATTAATCAAGCACTGGGGTTCAAAAAACTTTTATCCAGAACTCTTCTTTTATGTATGGACATAGCGAACTAGCATATAAGGCACCAGCGATAGTCAGACATCATATTCCTAGCCCAGATACCCTGCTAAAGCTGCTGATATGACACGTAAGACTTATTATGAAAAAAAAATATACTGAAAAACCTATGTTATTATAGTTCTTGCAACTCTCGAAGGCAAGTGAGTTTTATTTGTGTGATGTGTATGTGTACATGCACATAACAATAGTGTAATGTCTATCAAAACTTTTGAAAAACGAACAATAGCGAGCCACCACACATGTAAAGCTCACTCGCCTACATGAATTGCAACAACTATAACAATATAATGAAATTCATATAAATGATGACATTTTTTGTTTGATTTGCAAAGAAATTCGAGCTGCACAAAAATTCTTGAGGGTAGATTTGTAAAAAGCAAGACTAAGGTGAACAATATCAGGCTTCATTTTGTAAAATAGTGTAAAATGTTCTCATTTTGATATTTTATCTATATCAAGGACTTAGTAGCAGGTTAAATACGTTATTTTTTTAGGGACATTCTACAATATCATGGACTTTGACAAGACAATCGCACACTGTAGCCGATTTTCATAAATCTATATCATTCGCATAGCCAAGATTTTTATCAGATAAAACTGAATTTATTATTATTATTCTGTCTAATGGCTTCAATGGTGCATATTTGAAGCATGCATCGCTGCGTGAGGTCCAGTTGCTAAAAAAATTAACGACAATTTATGATATTTGTCGCCGAGAGCGGGAATAAAATGACAACTTACATTGTTAGTTTCGTTGGACGATGAACGCGAACGCTTTTCCTTGTTTTTTGAAAACACAGTACTCATCTTGCATCAATTTTAGGCGAAATAAATTAAATACATGCGGTGACGCTACTGCAAATTGAAATTTTGGCTAAATTTATTCACAACTGGCAAAAACGTGACAAACATGGCGTCTGGCCTAATGTCATGTCAGATAGAATCGCTTGGATCTTTTCGTGAGATTTTTTTATTCTCAACGTCGAAGTAATAACAGTAGTTAAATTAAACAGGGGAATTTTACAATGAACATTAACTTATTAAATAGTACATGCTCCTGATATTAATTACAATAGAAAAACGATTAATTTCACGTTACCGCTAGATAAGCGGTGTTGCTACACTGAAAAACTATTAATTTTTTGAACTTAAATAGGTATAGACAAAATTCATAGAGTAGTCATCCTCTATAACACTAACGGTTACTAATATTTATAACAACGTTATTTGTTAACCCTTCATTATCATGACGTAAATTCCTTAAAAGAGAACAGGCGAAAATCGTGACGTGAATGAAATACCTAAGCCTGGTCCGTGAGCACGTAGAATTTTGTCCAATGACCCCAAGCTACCCATCCTTATCGCACTCGCCTCTGAACATTTGCCCCCCTCTAGGATATTTAGTACCCCTACTAGGATAGTTCGAGAAGCGATTAAAATTAAGAAACATAAAAATTTCAATCGCGAGGACGGATTTAAATTGTCACCAGTCCAGTGTCTTACTATTTTAACAGAGCCCCGATTACGGTAACTTTTATAACGTCTACAATCCAGACGCGTTTCTGATTCTGCGATACGATTGGTCAAAACAGCTGACGTACGCTGTTGAACGACCAATCGTATCGCAGAATCGAGAAGCGTGTCTGGATTGTTGACGTTAAAAATTACCGTAATCGGGGCTCAGTATAAGTCAATTTCATGAAAAAAACAGCGCCTGTACTGTACAGAACAATGGGAAATGATTTCCCACTTTGAAGAAATTTTGCATGCCTTTAAGAATAAAGAGACATTATTTCCCACCGTACAACTGGGGGGTATCTCCCACTTTTACAGGTTTTTGATATAAAGGAATGGTGCCAGGGTCTGGACCAAGTGCTGCCCAGAATTAACCCATAGTGCATTTTGTTCTTCAGGCCCTTTCAGGCCAATTTCTAATGTGCTAACCGGAGCGCACTGAAATCTATCCCTGGAGTTAAGAGAAAAAAAAAAGTTTGTTTTGAATTATTTACATGCAAAATATCATCGATAATAATGAACTTAACCGTACAGCATCCGTACACGTTATTAGTGCGATTTCTTAGACATTCTTTATAAAACGATCTAGCGCTGTTTTAATACTTTGGTTAGTTGACAGAAATTCATTATTTCCAAAATGAAGCAAGAAGTTCATTATTTCCAAAATGAAGCAAGAAGTTCATTTCGGAAATAATGAAAAGTCTTCTCACCTCTAGCTTGTCCAGCTGCTTGTGCATGGCTCTTGTCTTCGGCGGCGTAGCATGGCTTGGCACCCGGGGCGATCACCNTGGTGGCCCCCAGAATTTTCGGGTTACCGATTCGAAGATGAAAGATGTACGAATCAGCTATAATAATACCAATCGTACAAAAAAGGGGCTTTTCGACCACTTTTCGACTGGTTTGCGATTATAATTTGTGCATGATTCTGCCCCCCTAGACAAAACGCACTTTTTGATCGAATCGAAAATCGAGTCCGTCAAAACTCCATATAAAAAAGGGGCTTTTCGACCACTTTTCGACTGGTTTGCGATTATAATTTGCACTTTGTCTAGACCCACTGATCTTCTCATCTTCAGCTTGTCCAGCTTCTAGTGCATGGTTATTGTCAAACTCACCTCAGCTTGTCCAGCTGCTTGTGCATGATTCTGGTCTTCTCATGTTCAGCTTGTCCAGCTGTTTGTGCATGATTCTGGTCTTCTCATCTTCAGCTTGTCCAGCTTCTAGTGCATGACTATTGTCTTCTCATCTTCAGCTTGTCTATAGTTCCAAAATACTGAACTGTCCTATCCATGACATTGACAGTGGGGCGCCACCGTCAATACCGGATCGCTGGTTCCGATTTCTGCCATGTTGGAAACCATATAGTTGTACGATGGTAGCGCCCCCCTGTCATTGAGTTTGGTGGGACAGTTCAGCGTGGGTCATCTATAGCTTCTAGTGCATGGTTACTGTCAATTTCACCTTAGCTTGTCCAGCTGCTTGTGCATGATTCTGGTCTTCTCATCTTCAGCTTGTCCAGCTTCTAGTGCATGGTTATTGTCAAACTCACCTCAGCTTGTCCAGCTGCTTGTGCATGATTCTGGTCTTCTCATCTTCAGCTTGTCCAGCTTCTAGTGCATGGTTATTGTCAATTTCGCCTTAGCTTGTCCAGCTGCTTGTGCATGATTCTGGTCTTCTCATCTTCAGCTTGTCCAGCTTCTAGTGCATGGTTATTGTCAAACTCACCTCAGCTTGTCCAGCTGCTTGTGCATGACTATTGTCTTCTCATCTTCAGCTTGTCTAGCTTCTAGTGCATGGTTATTGTCAATTTCGCCTTAGCTTGTCCAGCTGCTTGTGCATGATTCAGCCCCCCTAGACAAAACGCACTTTTTGATCGAATCGAAAATCGAATCCGTCAAAACTCCATACAAAAAAGGGGCTTTTCGACCACTTTGCGACTGGTTTGCGATTATAATTTGCACTTTGTCTAGACCTACTGGTCTTCTCATCTTCAGCTGGTCCAGCTTCTAGTGCATGACTATTATCTTCCCATCTTCAGCTTGTCCAGCTTCTAGTGCATGGTTATTGTCAAACTCACCTCAACTTGTCCAGCTGCTTGTGCATGATTCTGGTCTTCCCATCTTCAGCTTGTCCAGCTTCTAGTGCATGGTTATTGTCAAACTCACCTCAGCTTGTCCAGCTGCTTGTGCATGGTTCTTGTCAACTCACTTTCAGCTTGTCCAGCTGCTTGTGCATGATTCTAGTCTTCTCACCTTCAGCTTGTCCAGCTGCTTGTGCATGATTCTGGTCTTCTCACCTTCAGCTTGTCTAGCTTCTAGTGCATGGTTATTGTCAATTTCGCCTTAGCTTGTCCATGATTCTGGTCTTCTCACCTTCAGGCCCTTCAGCTTGTCCAGCTGCTTGCTTAGGCTGCTTGTGCATGATTCTGGTCTTCTTACCTTAAAGCTTGTCCAGCTGCTCGTCGCACTAAAGTAAGTTGTACGGATGAAGTATAGTTAATTAAGTTCAACATATCGAGTGTTATTTAATGCCACAATCGCGAAATCTAATGCGTAGGTGTAGTACGTATCGTATATCGATGATATCGCACACCTAGATCTAAACTGAGACAACTCAAAAAAGGGCATTTTTCATGGGGCGAAAAAAACGTATTACTACATTTTTTGTTAGGGAAGTTATGAAACTCAGTTTTATTTTGGATTATTGATAGGCTGTGAAATGACCCTGTGTATAAAATGGGTCAAAAAATCTGTCCTTTTTACCTTTAATCGCAGTTTTTTTAGTTGTTACATTTTAGGGGAATGACTTTGTATAAATAATAAAGTACATTTAGACTTGAATCAGTTTTGTTTGGACATTTTGAGATTTGAGTCCTCCTTTTCACTCTTAAAATTTTTATATCGTGCCATTTAACTTGATTCCGATTGTCGTCTACAACCAAATTAGTTGCCCACATTTTTGCAAGATTTTAGTGTCATAAAACTTTTCAAATGTCATCTTTTCCACGTTATTTGGTCCTCTGTATTTCAAAATTTCAAGATGTGGCTGAGTCCTCTTCCTGCACAAATAAAGTGTTTTGATTGAATGTTTCGATATCCTTAATCATCAATTTAGGAATTTTTTGAGAAAACAGTTCTTTTTTAACACGATTTGGATCAGCATAACAGCTATAAATGAACATTTCATGACATGGTGAACATGATAGGTGCTTGAGTTTCTTCAGCCACTTTTTCTTAGCATCAGCTGATTGATATGTTTATTTATTATTTATTAATTACTAGCTGACCCGGCGAACTTTGTTCCGCCTTAATGGCAATAAATAAGCAGACTTTTTTTTTAATTTCGAACGGGATAAAAAGTATCCTATGTCCTTCTCCTGGCTCTAAACTACCTCCCTGACAATTTTCAGCTAAATCGGTTAAGCCGTTCTTGAGTTATAAGCGAAGTAACTAACACGACTTTCTTTTATATATATAGATTATAGACCATTTTTCTACATTATTTTTTATTTCCACATTATAAAGAAGGTTTTATCTCTTGTGCAGATAACAGCATATAAGACTATACACTTGTATTACAACTACATTAGTTACTACAGTGTTCAACTTGAAGTGCCGTCGTCTGTACATTGCTATTTTAACTATCTTTACACTGTTCTCTCAAAATATTTAAAAGAAGACGACCTAGCATATTTTTTTCGGAAAATAAAAAAATATTAACTGTAATTTTCACTTATCCAACAATAGTAAGTCAACTCAAAACACTCTTCTCAAACACAACAGTTGAACAGTTTGGATAAAACTAACTTTATTTAGAAACAGGGATTATCATACTGTACCTGATTTTAGGTGAAACATGCAAAACTGCGCGTTCTGTACCTATAGAAAAACATTGAATTGAAATTTGTTCCAACAAAACTACGCCAACTAGAAATTCACAAGTTGATTCATCAAAACAAACTCAACTCAAAATGGTAATAAAATATAAGTTACTTTATCAAACAAAACTGGAACAAGTCAAAATGATCTGGTTGACTATTGCAGAACAATTCATCAATACTGTTACTACTCAAATTAACTCATTATATATTTTCTGCTTAACTGTAACAAATCTAATTAACCGCGTTTTCGTTTATTTTAATACGTGGGCCATTCTTAAATTTGTGCCAAATTTTTTTAAAAAATTAAAGATTTTTTTTTTAACTTTTTGCGATGTGTATCGAAAGTATAAACCAAAAGCATACTTTTGATGTATATGGACAACCTTAAAGCCCTCGGAAAGGAAACAAAATAGCCTACGTAAACACGGCTGTGACACTGCATGACACGGATGTGACAGTTTTACATTTTTACTGTAAATAATAATATTTATGTTGTTAAATTTATATCATAATAGTTTAAATTGATTAACAATAAAATACACTAAATTCGTTTCATCAACAAAGGTGTTATTTGGTAATATGTACTTTTTTCTGAACATCCAAAAATTTAATTAATATTGAGATCAAAAATACCGTCAGGTAGTTAATATATCTACTAGATAATAAAAAAATAGACTTTTTATTATTAGCACTATCTGATCATGCTTCCGATATGCTA